TAGGCCAACTTCTTTTTTCAAAAATTTAATAAATATGTTTATTAATTTTAGAGAGAGAAAGAGAGAGGAAGAAAGAGGTGAGGGAGAGAGGGGGAGAGAGAAGAAAGAGAAACATCAGTTGGTTGCCTCCCATATGCACCTGCACTGGGGGTTGAACCTGCAACCTAGGTATGTGCCCTGACTGGGAATTGAACCCCCAGCCTTTTGGTGTACGCAATGGTGCTCCAACAAACTGAGCCCCACTGGCTAGGCCTAGGTCAATTCTTAATTAAGCAGTTTAGCATTTAGTTCAACAAATATCTACTAAACACTAACCGAATTCCAGGCAATGTACTTGACTTTGACTATACAGAAGAGTAACAGAAAGTCCTGCCTTCAAGGAGCTTCGCCAGCTTATAGAACTATGCATGTAAATAGAGTCGAGTATAAGTCATGAATAGTATAGTGATAATATAAGTAGTGAAAGGACACAGAAGTGTTATAACAGAGGGGATGACGACAATTGTCTGAGATGGGAGCCATCTGAGAAGGTCTGACAGAGTAGGTGATGCCTTCCTAGGGTTTTAAAGGAAACGAGACGGAAAGGACATTCTATCTAGAGAGAGGTGCAAAGCGTGGAGACGCAAAGCACAAACTGATGTTTGGGAAACTAGAAGCAGTCAACAGGCCTGCAGTGTAAAATTCAAGGGGCAAGTAATGAATCATGAAGGTGAATGCTGGTTGTGACCTTTAGGTAAAATGAGATTGCTCAAGAGTTTCTAGGATGTACCTGTGTATCACTGTATACAGGGATACATATTTAAAAAATACATAATTCTAACAGCAGGCCATTCCCTGGTTTGGAGTGAAGGAGAAGCATTTAAGTAATTACCCAAATATTTAAGCTACCCACCTGTTCTTTTTAACATACATTTAGTAAAATAATGATTGCTATTTATCTTGCTTATATATATTATCATTCACTGTGGTACAGCACAAATGACTATTTATAAGACTAGGGTTACATAAGTATTATGACAGTTCAACATGAATAGAGCTCTTGGTTAATTAATAGAAATAAATCAGTATCACAGACTTTCGCTCCTTTTATTACAGATCTACATCAATGAGGTACCAGTTGGGTTTCCAGCAGGAATGCTTATCACACTACTACTGTACCACTGTACTTTTAGGATGGCTTGTATTGTACCAAATTTTTGATGAAAAGGAATGACAAACATATGGAATCTATATAAAAAGCTATTCAAGAAAAAGAACAAACTACCTTCCTCTTTCTTTAAAAATTTTTTTTGGGTAACAATCTGCACAATGAAAAGAACAAAGAACAAATCATTGTAATTTCAATTATGATTTCCATTCCCTAGAAGTATCTTAAATAATTCCCAAGCATGCTAACTGAATGACAGACTTATGGAATTTTCTTTCAATTCAATTTGTTCTTTGTAAATGCATTTGCCACTTGTTTTGCTTATTGTTAACACATGAAGAGTTGCCAGTCAGCATTTCATGAAAGTGTTTTTATATTTGAAGAAATGAATTAAAAAATGGCACTGAGTTTTAAGCTGGTAAAAGTTTGTTGTTGTTCCAGCTTTTACCTAAAATTATCTTCAATTTCTGATTTGTTCATGATAACATTCATTATTAAGGGTAGAATGAGAGAAAATGTAATTTTTCCCCAGGTATGACACACCAAATTAACTATTTACATCCCTTATAAAAATAGTTTAGAACAAAAATGGATGGTTGCTGGCACATTTTTCTGCTGAGTGTTTTTTAATGATTTTCACCTATTTCATTACATGGTAATACGATGCTTGTAAACATCACAATAATGCTCATGTACAGTCACACTGGCATCTGCCTTTATGGAGGCAGAATGACGCCTATTGTTCTTACCACCACTGCCACACAGCTATGGAATTGGAAAGCTGGCCGCATCCTTAACAGCCATCTCATCAGCATTAGAAAACCGAGGCCCAAAGAGGCTAAGTGTCTTATACTAGACCACTAGTTTAGTGGCTGAGCCACAGTTAGGGCTCAGATCCTTTGGTGTCACGCACTTCCCGCCACACAGATACCATCACCTTCTCTGTCAAACATGGAGGTCATCCATGTGGCTGGTGCATTCCAGGGCTGGGCAGTGTGCAATCCAGCATTCTAGTCCTTGCTCTTCCCAGGGTTTTCTGTCTAAAGCAGGAGATACTATAAAAGGATACATGCAAATGGATAAAGGTAAGTAACTTAGAGTAGGTATGAATACTGCGTGATGAGTGGACCCCACTGCACGTTTTACAAGTTGATGTTGTGCATAGAGGTGAAGACACAAGAGTTCCAGGGAAAAGTTTCGTGTTAAAGTGTTGGAGAAACTCGTATCTTTTTTAATCCCTACAATCTTAGATATTACTATTCCTATCTTATAGATGAGGAAACAGGCACAGAGAGGTTAAGAAACTTGTGAATATCACACTGTTCCTAAGAGGAAGGTCCTGGACTCAAAATACAACACCCACTGATGATGTATCTCAATCTTTTGTGACTTGCAACCCTCCCTTATTGAACTCCATTAGGAATTTTCTTAAATTTTATCACCATTTGTGCCTGCCATATGACTAAGTGATTAAATCAAGTACTTATTTACTATTGTGATAATTTTGTGTCCATCAAACAGTAATCTAGGTGTTGCTGTGAGAGCATCTTGTAGGTGTGATATTAAGTAGAATATTCTCAGTAATCCGGGTGGGCTTCATCCATTCAGTAGGCCAACACTGAGGTTTCTCTGTGGAAGTGAAAGCTGTCCATGGACTGCAGGGTCAGCTCCTGCACAAGAGTTTCCAGCCTGCTGCTGACTTGCCCTATGTACTTCAGGCTTGCCTAGCCATACCCCACTATCATTTAAGCAATTCCTCAAAATTTCTTTCTCCATAGACACTTCCTACTCGCTGTTTCTCTGGTTGGACCTGAACTGATACGACACAATTGTTATTTCAGATTATATTATTCAGCAGACATAATTGTTAATATTCCTTGTAACATACATGTAACTTTAAATAAAAATCCCTATTTAATTTTTCCTAAAAGTGTATTATTAAAAAATGCATGACTTCCCCCCCCCACAAATTATTTTATGTTTGGTTTGGTGATCAAGTAAGCAATGAGTAAATTTAATGGTTTCTTACTGTGCCCAAGTGGACAAAAATCACTGCTATGACCCGAGGCTTGAAATTATTGCACTGTAATACTTTCTATATTGCACTTTCTATAAAAAAAAAATTGCTTGGTTTTGGGGGCGTTTTAAATATAATTTTCCAGTTTTGTTTGTAAATGATGGAACTCTCAGGCTGCCTTTTCCAGCACATCTTTGTGTTTCCTAATTTCAAGGCGGACACTCCTACATCCTGGGAAACCACTCAGCTCTGGTAATGTCATCAGGCCTCTTTCTGAATAGATGAGTTTATAACAAACTACATTGCAAGTTTGATATGAAATTCCTGGCAGTGTTAAAACACCTGAACCTGCCGTAAATGTAGACATAGCCATGTGTCGTTGCTGAGCACTTGAAATGCGGCTGTAGGAACTGAATTTTAAACTTTACTTAATTTCAATTAAATTTTACACTAAAAAATTGATAGTTGATTCATTTTTAAAAGCACTTTAAATACGCTGGAAATAGCTTGAGTATGTGAATCTTTTTCGGTGGCAAATTTAATGAAATCTAAATACAGGTCAGGTATTACCATTGAATATTTAGCATCCAAATTGAAACTTATACTAAGGATAAAACACACATTGCATTTTAAAGTTAGTACCAAAGACAGCGGGGACGGGGGGCAGAGGAAATTTAGAGGAGTATTTGAGATCTTGTTCCCTGGGATGTCTTTAGTTTGGCTCATGTAAACTCTTATTGAAATTTTCAGAAAGGAAGGGAAGAAAGGAAGGAAAACATCTTATTAAGATTTTATTAATATTTAGAAGAGATTGCATTCAAGAAAATACATTATTAAAATAATTCAGCAGTTTCCTCATACTTTTTTAAAAGAAGTGATTATTGTAAGATTTAAAATTACATATACCACTTACTCTTTCTAGTGGACAGCAATGACCTAGAAGGCCTGGCAAATAGAAACGGAGGAGTGGCTGGATTTAACATGTAACGTTGAGCCCCGGCTGGTGTGGCTCAGTGAACTGAGAGCCGGCCTGGGGAACCCCAAGATTGACGGTTCCTTCCAGTCCTGGTCAGGGCACTTCCCCCGGTTGTGGGCCAGGTGCCCGGTGGAGGGCGTGGGAGAGGCAGCCAACCGGTAGATACTTCTCTGGCACATCGATGTTTCTCTCCCTCTCTTTCTCCCTCCCCCTATCTAAAAAAATACATCTTTAGAAACAAACAAGTTGAGAATTACTCATCCTGATCATATAGTATCGTGTGTTTTTGTATGCCCCTCAAGTTTTTTGTTTTTCTTTTTTGCAGCATGGAGGGCTAGAACAGTTGTTCTGATACAGGATAAAGAAATGGATGTAGCAGCTGAATTGCAAGGTGAGGTTTCAGACTTGTCACTTTCCGGGCTTGACCTCAGGTTCAGAAAATGCAAACTGTCCCAAGTCTGTAGACTCGCCACACCATTGCAGCTCCCAAGGGAAAAGGCTGGCCACTCTGCCAAAACCTGTGGCCTTTCCCGGAAGGTTTCCTCCCAAAGGAAAACCGCCACAACTCCGAGCTCAGATTCCGAACCCAGCCCCAAAAGGCGCCCGGAAAAGAGAGTCGTGGAGACAGGCGCGCCACGGAAAAGACCCAGGCCGAAGTGGCTCTGCGGGTGGTCAAGGATCCACACGAGACCGCAGCAGTCCGACTGAAGACCTTAATACACCCAGCGCTCCGCTGGGCAGAGAAAATAGACTCACTCTCGCTGCCGGAGGCGGGTCCCGCGCCCTTGCCGAATCCCCGAGCGGGGCTGATGACGAACACAGGGCGCGACGCACGCACACGCCGTGCCGTGCTCGCACGACGGTGCGTGCAGGGAGCGCGAGGGAGCCCCGGCCGTCACCGGCGCGACCAGCGTTCCCCCTCCTCCGCACTCAGTGCTCCCGCCACCTCGGCAACTCAGCAACTCGGCGCCCGCCTCCCGCTTCCGTCCGAGGTCTTCGACGCAGGGAGGCTCCCGGCCTCGCTCCTGTCTCTTTAAATGGTGGGGTCAGCGGGCCGCCCCTGCAGCTGCTGCCTGGGTGGCCCCGCGCGCCGCTATTGAGGGGCGAACCAAGATGGCGGCGGCTTTGGCTCCGTGAGGAAGACGGAAGAGGCGGTGGCAGCGGCGGAGGAAAGAGATTTCCAATAGGCCTGGAGCGCTCGGCGTCTGGGGGCTCTCGGAGTCTCCCGCGCAGTGGAGGCGCCTGCCGCAGGAGCAGGCGCCCGTCGGCGTCGGACATTTGAAGCAGGCGAGCGGAGCAGAGCTACCGGCTGCGGTGGCAGGGCCAGGTATAAGGAAGGAAAACATGGCGGCGGCGGCCTGAGAAGGCGGCGGCGGCGCGGGAAGCGGCTTTACGGACATCATGGTGGAGGCGGGAGCAGGGCAGTGACCGGCGCCCCGACTTTCTATAGCGGCTGGGCAGGAGGCTGCGAAGCGCTGCGCGCCCCCCTCGGGGCTGCCGGGCTTGCCGGGCCTGGACAATAGCGCCGAGGTACCGGAGGCGAGAAAAAGCGAGGGCCCAGATTTCGGGCCCGGGAACGGGCCATGCGGGCGGCAGCACGGCCCCGCGGCGGCCAGCGGTGGCAGTGAAGTCGGGGAACCGTCGTCTTGCGGGCGTCTTCCCGCCTCGGCTCCCGCCTACCCCGGACCCCCTTCCTGGGCGACTCCGGCGGGGCCTCTGTCCCGGCCCCTGGGCGGCACGATGACCGACACCCGGCGGCGGGTGAAGGTTTACACGCTCAACGAGGACCGGCAGTGGGATGACCGGGGTACCGGGCATGTGTCGTCCGGCTACGTGGAGCGGCTGAAGGGCATGTCCCTGCTTGTCAGGGCCGAGAGCGACGGTAAGTGAGCCCCTCTTCACGGCGGGACCCTCGCCTCCCACAACCCTGGGCCACCTCCCTGGTTCTTTGGGGCCAGCGGTCCTCTTAATACGTGGCCGGAGGGGGCGACTGCCGCCTCGGGGGAGGGCGGGCCACCAGCACCCCAGTCCCCCCGGAGCTGCTCGGAGAGCGCTCGAGATGTTTTCTTTCCGAGTGTCTAGTGGCGCTTGGGGGTACGAGCGGGGCCTGGCACGTTTGGGCTGTGCCGCCCGGGCGTGTGGAGAGGCCGGGGACTTGGGATCGTTGTCCGGACTGTGCCGTTCTTTCGCGCTACGGTGACCTTGAGAAAGGCACTGATTAATCCGATCTGCCTCCTTAGTGCACCCATCTGTAAAGCAACCGTGAAACTTTTTTCGGAGGTAAGAAAGTTCTCAGCTGTTTTCAGTCTTTGGAAAACATTTTGCTGTGCAATTTTTTTTCTTTTTTTAAACACTTCTGCTGCATCTTTTTGATCCTGTTGCAGCTTGGCAACACTGGTTCATGGGTTTGGCAATTTAACACTCAGCAGAGAAAAAAAAATGCCCCTTTGCTGTGAGAAGATTAGATCTGTGTTCCCCAGTGTTTGTTTTCTTGTTCGAAAGTAATGCAGAATTTTGTGTGTAATTTCACTGTGTAAACGTCTTGCAAGTTTGGAATCATTTAATGCCAGCTTCTTTGATTGCTTAAGAGTACATTCACTATTTGGTTAACAGGTGGGGAAGAGTTGGCAGGTGATCTTTAAAACCCATCGAATCTGCCCTGGTGCCTGCGCTTCAGGCGTTTGGAAACGGCCCTCAACGTTCAAAGACCAATTTGTTAAAAAATAAATGTTTCACATTTTTAAAGACTTAAACCCTCTTTTGTGATTCCCTCTTCCCTCTGTGGCATACAGTGAATTTCACTTAAAGAAAACAATCATGTCAGGTCAAACTGTTTTCAAATTGTTTTTCTTGAATTTGAGAACTTGCTTTAGTTCGTCTATAATTTTACGGTTAGCTGTTTCAGTTTATTATGATTGTAGTTGCTCTGTATCTGAATTATTACAAACTCATTTCAAAGAATTTTAATTGGACTCTCTAGGAACACTGGTTTTCAATTTGAATTGAAAAACAGTAATTTGGAGTATGTTGCCAACAAGTTATCTTAAGATTGGCTACCCAAAAGAAGTTAAACCTGGAGAAAAATTCTTTCTTTTCAGAAACATTTAAAGAATTTTGAATGCATCAGGTATATTTTTCTGAGGCCTGTTAAAATACAAATTTGAATGTCAAGTATTAGTGTGTTTTATATATGACTATTACAGAGTAATCAACTACTCTAACCTCTACATCTTGGGAGGCTTGGAAAACTTTTTACATACTAAGATGGAAAGCATGAGCTTTGTAGGTTCAGTTAACTTTTGAGATGAAAGCGCGTGTGGGTTTGACAGCAAGTCTTTGAGATCTGGTAATTTTAAGATAAAACCTCATCATGTGTTTAATCAGACTCATACAAAGTCTTTTGTTTAAAGTATTTTTAAGCATTAAGTCTCAGTGTCATACTGTCATAGGGAATCATACTCTTCAACATGATTATACAGGATTATTTTTTTTCTTTTCCTGTTTTTATTTTCACCATTTTAGAAATAGCCCCTAACCTCTCCTCCCTCCCTTTGGAAGGTTTGAGGCCCTGCAATAAAACAGGTTAAATGGCTGAAAGAAATTGGATTTAATTTTTGTCTAATAGGGAAAGAGATGAAATAAGTTAACTTATGTGCCCTTGTTAAATTTACATTGAAAGGAAAACTTAAGTCCAAAGAGTAGACTTAGAAAATTCTAAAATACTTGTAAAGTATTGTAAATAACCTTCAGTTAGATGAGTAGTGTTTTTTCTAACAAGAAACTGCAAATAGAATAATGAAAAAATTTTGAGTGCCTACTGTGTGCCAGAGACTCTCTATCTGTATCCTCTGGCATAGGACCTTTTATTAGCTTTATTTTACAGATGGGGAAACTGAGGTTCAGAGAGGCTAAATAACAGCTTGGTTAGGAAGCAAGGTCAGTGTTCAAACTGGGTTTGAGTGAGATATCTAGTCTGTGGCTTGAAACTAGTCTTACCAGTTATTTTATTAACTGTGTTGACAGTGTGTCTTAAATTCCCGTATTGTCTACTTGCATTTATTTGCTGCTTTATGCTTAGACTCAGTGCTTATCTCAAAGAAAATAAAAACAACTTTTTGACTAAAGATATTTAAAATTATATTTTATCTCCAGGCCACATACGGGAGTTTCAGTATTGATTTAGTAGTTTGGGTTACCTATCATTGTGTGCTTTCCTAATTCTCCATTATAGGATAATTGAGAATTTTCTTTTTATTGTGTTGAGCAAAATAGAAAGTATTTCTGATTTTCTATAAAACGGGTAATTTATCTTGTTAGAGGAGCTTACACATTTACCTGAAAAGGAGGAATGCAGTTTCTCGGTGGAGGTAAGTGTGGCGTCCCTGTTACAGAGCACATCTGACGGGGTGAGCATGCTCTTCCCCCCTGAAGCGGAGGGGCTTGGCAGATCTGTAGTGCATTTTGCCTTGGAGGTGATAGATGTCCCACGAAGCCACTGAGCCCGTTTTCTGGGTTGCATCGTTACTTAATAGGAATAGGTTCACATTGGCAAGGTGTGTTATAGGAGCATGTATTTTTCTCTTTAGCAAGCTAGGTTACCTCATTTCTCATGTATTGTAGCTCTGTACCTGCAAAGCTCCTTTTCCGATAAAGATTACTTAGTAGTTTTCTTTCAATTTGCACTATATCTGTTAACTTCCCAAAGTGAGGATAACATCATCCCTTACTTGCCCCTCTCATTTTATGTTCAGATTGTTCTACTTTTCTCCATTATGGTCTTTACCAGCTCCACCTGCCAGCTTTAGAATTGAGAAAGAAATTGAAATTTCTCTACATACTGAAGGATATCTTTGAACAAGAAATCATAATCCATGCTCTCTGCTCTGGATTACATGCCAAGCATCAATGATAGGGTTCTTTTATTTGGTTTTTGCCTTAAATTTTATAAAGTAGTTTGTACATTTCAAAATAGTTTTAACTTATCTGACTAGACTGTTTCAGAATTGGAAAGGTCAGATTCTCACTGAGGCGTGAAGAAAATGAGGAGAGGGGATGGTGTGGTCAAGGTAGCACTCCTATCTAATGGTAAAAACTGCAGCCCTGTGCTTCTGCCTCTTGGTAGAACTTGGATGCCTCTACCTCTACTATAATTAGAAAAGGAGGTCAGACCACTTTGGGTGGGAAAGTCTTTTTTGTTTTGTTTTGGCTGCTGTGGTGAGAGAGCTGCAGAGAAAGCATCAGCATTTTTTACTGCTATTCTTACAAATCAGTAAGTAGAATAGAATCTCTCATACAGGAAGCATTCCAGATTTAGCTACCAAGAAGAGCTTAGTATCAGTACTGGGAGAGATACCTCACTTGAAATGTTGATTTAAACATTTTTTTCTTGTGTAGACCTACTTTGTAGAAAATTGATAGGCTTAGGGTCATCTGTTGCATGTGATAACTGAGTGTAGTGAAGACTTGACACAGGTGTGGAACCTTTTAATGTAATGTTACCACTTGGTTTTTTCCCCCTTAGACCTTCATTTCAGTTTTTAAATGCCATGTGTAACCTGTGGGCCACAAAAATCAGGAGAGAGGGACTTGAAACACAGACCTGCTGTAGTTATAAAGCATATCCTAGTCTCCTATCTGGATGAGATTTTTGGACTTCCTTTAACTCATTTTCGATGGTGTTTTCTTCTTAATACCCAAGTCCCTTTCCTTAGCTTTGGGCATTAATACGAACGATTACTGGAGAAGCCTAGAAGTTGAACTGCTTACTCAGGAGTGACAGAGCTGTAGCTATTCATTCTGAAATCCTTACGTGTTTATCTGAATCTAAACTAAGATTCTAAACTAAGTCCGAGTCAAAACTAAGGCCGGGACCTAAGTTTCTTAACCCTAAACCAGATACACCCATTCTATCTGAATCAGATTCGTTGGTTGTTGGTTAATATTGAAAATAGAACTACAGAAGTTACAGAAACTCTAGAATAGTTCATTTCCCCAGTGAAAGGAAATGATATCTTCTAAATAAATGAATTTTCCAGCGAACTAAGACTATACCAGAGATTAAAGCTCTCAACAGTTTTCATGTAATGTTTCCTAAATACATGCTAAAATGTTTTTCTTAAATAATGTAATGGATGTGTGTTGGATAACCTTTCACTTGTAATGTGTTTCTGGATGATCATCATCAATACTAATGTTTCCACTATTCAACAGTACAGTGATGCCAGTGAAATGATACTCTGTTCATGCCCTAAAAAAACAAGTATCGAGTGCTAATTATGTAGTAGATACTGGGATAGGGACTTTCATACAAATATTCAGTTAATACAGCAACCCTATGAGGTGGTATTTCTCTAACCATATGTCCTGGTGTATTGATTCTTTGATTGGATAGTTTAGTTTTGTGTTTTGTAGTTTTTTCCTGCACCTAGTCAGAAATCTAGATTTTTTAAAAAATGTAAAATCTTTTCATTTAAAAATACTTGCATGAGTGTATAGATATGTTTGTTAGGCTAGGAATCAGACTGTTTGCTGGCTGCATTCAGGCCGATTTGAACTCTTTTGTAATGGTACTTCAGTCTGCACTACCAACTATCTTTCACCCTCTTCCTGGGAGGTGTTTGTTTTGACCGGGTGTGTTGGGGGTTGGCAACAGGATTGAAAAAACAGAAAGAAAAGCTCTCACATTTCATTTTACAGTAGGAACGAAGATGTCATGAAGCAGAGAGTAAACATTTTTAATGACCTTATTATTTATACTTGTACTATTGTCACTTTTTCTGGCTGTCAGTGTATGGCTGCTTCTATCTGCAGTTGTCTTGGTGATGTTCTGAGGGGGCATTTCCCCTCCTCTACTATTGTTCCCCCATTTTCTGAGTGTATAGA